ATGGCGAGAATTTTGAAGGCGGAAACACCGTGCAGGGCGAGCAGGTATATGATGGCAAAGCCAAAGTCGAAGGATGCCCGCTGATTCAACCTCTGATCTGCTTCTTCCAACGTTGGTCGTGTCGTCTGGCCACCCGAGTTCACTCGGTATATAGCGAGATTGTATAATTTCCGGAGTAGTGGGTGGAGGACGAGCAGGACGACGAGGTAGGGTATGTTGTTTCGAAAGCTGCGGTATTGCGAATCGGTGACATCCTTCAACTCGTCAGCAGGCGCAAGCATCACAGGTCGGCGCAAAGGTGTCCTACGATCTTGCGGCCGGGGATCCAGCCAGGCGACAGGTAGGGTTCATAATTGCGGTAGTTAGGATGCGTAGCTGCGGAACAAACGGTCAGTCCGAAAGGCGGATCGGGGGGGGGGGAGATCGGGGGACTCGGGGGGACTCGGGAGGGGAAGAAGCGTAGGGGCCAAGTCGTACTTTTCGAAGCATCGTATGCGATCCAGAACATGTACGGGATGGCGAGCGCGAAGACGACATAGTACAGGCAGAACTCGGGCGTGTTCCACTTCGAGTCGGTCTGTGGCCGGCCATTCCACCTCGTCGCCCGGTCCTTGCTCGCCGCAGCCGTGTCATCCCGCGCTTCGACGACGGCCTGGTAGGGAGTGGTGGACGACACAGTGAAGCGAGTGTCGAGGGTGTCGAGGGTGTAGACGTTGCCAAGGAATGAAAGGGCGCCCATGGTGAGTGATTGTGGATGCCTCGGACAGGCAACGATGCCTAGGAACTGTATAATTCAATTATCGTAACATTAGGAATCCGAGCGAACGACAGCAACAGGGTGTTGTCGTCGAAGAGTAGCAACATAAGGTCGCCGGGGAGAAAAGAGTGACTTTGACTTGGTGGATAGATCCGAGGTACTTGGCAAGTTGTTAGGATCGTGTCGAATCTTGGATTGAGATGAAGTTTCGTTCCACTCGGGGGCCTACACTAAGTATGTAAGGGGTCTAGGCTTATCCAGGCTCCCGGTGTGTAGCATAGTGCCCACTATACCTGTACTATGCGTACCTACATGCGTAAATATGCCCAGGTACTACCCAATTTGGACGCCCACCACTAAAGTTGACCACTGGAGACGACCACAACGTAATACAGTGGGGCCGTCTCAAGATTCCCGATCGACCTCTTCGAGACATCTCCTACGCATACTCCACCACCACCTTTACCTAAGTACCTACCTATCTACCTACTTCCTTATATGACTTTCATATGAGAATCACCTATTTACTGTATAGTATTGCACAATTGACCTACTTTAACAGTCTAACGTTCTTGGGCACATATCAATCTTCATAGTATAACAGTCTGCTTGGAAATAATTCATCTTTTTTACTTAGTATATCGTCATCGCAAGTCGTTGGCTATTGCTTACATTACCGCCCCCTTAATACCATACCATACCTACTCTCAAGTGAGCCACTCTCATACAAATCAGTACTTGGGAGTGAGCTATTCTCATCTCGTGTCCAGCCGTGGCCATCGTACTCATATACCTTTATCTGCGAATGATATGGACCCGGATACCGATAAATTCTTCATTCAAAGAGGGTCATTCGGCAGCAAATCCATCGCCTTGAGGCCCAAACCATCCAACGGGCCATCAAACTCAACAAGATGGAAACCCAGGGGGCCCTTCCGTCTCTTCGACCTCCCACCCGAGCTGCGAGCTGAAATCTTTAATCTAGCCCTCCGGGACTGTGAGGAACAGGTTCAAGTCTTGCAGATATTCCTAGTCTCCCAGAGATTATACGCCGAGGCTGCCGACATCTTCTATCATCACATCTGGTTAGATCTCACGGACCGCACCGAGCCTCCCGGTCTATTAGCCGGACCAATCACCCCTCTAACGCCGAGACTTCACGTACGGACCATGGACCTCAAGATCTACCCAAGGAGTAACCTCCAGTCCTTCAACGAGTTTTACGTGCCTCTCTTGCGTGAAATGGCCGACCAAGGCAGTCTCCACACCCTGCGTCTGGAGATTAACGGCAGGTTTCCTCGCCTGGATTTCTGGACAGACCACTGGTCTGACGATGAAGAGTTCAATGAGACCGAAATTCCACTGCTCATCGGTCCCGAGACGAACATCGACTACTCGGGCCCGGCTTTTCTAGTCGCTGAACCCTTTCAGACCTTCCTAGACTTCATCTCCGACCCGCGTATCCCCAAAGTCGTGTTGTATATCTCCAGCGCGGACCATTACAAATTCTGGTGTGAATGTCACCGCAAGTTTTCCTCCCAGCACAAACTTCCGTGTGTCGGCGGGTCGTGGGGCGGCAAGTCCAAGCGATTAAGGGTTAATCAGAAGCATCTCCTCCGCCTTTTCCAAAATGTTCGTGCTGCACACGGCTCAAATACAGCAACATCGTCACGACCTTCTGGTGTGCCTACTCGAAGTACTTGAGAATACTCATTCCAGTAGACTTAATTCCATCAACAAATGAAAGATCAGATACTATATTCAAGATACAGTGACTATCTCGGCCATATACACCTATCGACGAAGATGTATCTAGGTTTTATGTGCTCAGCACTCTTATCACTACCATTCCCTCCTTTTTAGTCACACACAGACCCGAGCGAATTAAACAATACAATCCACTAAACACAAGCTCCCACACATCAGACCACCTTGCTAAACCCTGGTGCTGCATTAAAGGCATTGATAATAGTCTAATCTTGTATTAGCTGGGAAGAAACATCCAGGGGCGAGGTACTACTTACAGTCGTTTAGTTTCTTGCATGTATATGGGCTCACGCACTAAAAGAGTAGTCTCATTAGCTTCTGTGGGATCATAACACTACTAAAGACGTACCGTGGTCGCTCCGGTCCATCCAATGCCACCACATTGGGCGTACTGTGCTGCTCCTGATCCAGATGTCGGCGTGGCCGTCGCGCTTTTGGTTGTTGTTTGGGTAGAAGTCGGACCACTTGTTGTAGTTGTGGTACTCGAACCCTACGAACGTGAGTCAGATCATTTCCTTCGAATTTATGCAACGGTGATATATCATGGTCGGAGGTACTTACCGTAAACCCGAACCACTCCATGTCTGCATCACCAAAGATGTCGATACTATGAGTTATGCCCTGATACCTCCAAGTCAGAATCCCCCCTTATACCACGATAACACTAATCCAGCCCCGAAAGGAGAACCAAGGGGCAACCCGAACTCACCTGACCCAAGATACCCTCAACATTCGGCCCAAACACATATCGTGTATACGGGCTCCTGGGGGTGTTAGGATATGTGGCGGAGGGTGTAGTCGAGTATCCAAAGATGCCAGTCCACTGCTTAATTGTCTCATAGTAATTCTGGGGATAGAGCGTGGTATCCGCCGTGCCGTGATGAATCCGCATGCGCGGCCTAGCGCCGGTATACCCGGGGTAGGCATTTTTCGCTGCATTGGCCCAATACTCCTGGCTGAGATTTAGCTGGCCCTGCGAACAGGTGCTATTCCACCCGTTGACGGTGCCCGTGTAGAAGCAGGTGGCTGGGACACCTGCATACGCGATGCCCGCAGCGAACACGTCGGGGTATGTGGCTGCTAAGACGTTCTGGGTGGTGTTAGTAACTTAGGAAGGTATCATAGGTGGAACGGATGGGGGGATGGGCGACTCACCGTCATCATAGCACCGGAAGAAGTGCCAGTAACAAACACCCGGGATTTGTCCCCTTTGTCTGCAACACTCGGAGTCAGCATCGCCACTTCAAGCTTGGCCTATGAGTGTATCGGGTCCATCAAAACTTCCAAGGCACCGCTGTAACAACGACGAATCAACAAACACCAAGAAGCACTTACACTTATCCAGGGTATACGACACCATATTCGCTATGGAATTACTATCTGCGCCGCCATTATGCGTAAGAGCCGCCGTGGACGAGACATCCCAGCAGGTACCGCTATACGGCGACTCGGGGTAGATCACGATGAACCCATATTTCTCTGCGAGGGTGGCGTACGGCGTATTGGTGTAGTACGCGGATGCGGTGCCGGAGCAATAGTGGATAGCAACGATAACGGCCGGGTTTGTGGCTAGGTTGTCCGGCACGTAGATGTACATCTTGGTGCCCGAGGTGTTGGCGCCGAAGCTGGTCACCTGCTGTAGCGAGGCGCCGGCCGCCAGCCCGGACAGCGCGAGGAGGGGACTCAGGAGACGCATGGTGATGACGACGGTCTAGATGCCTACCTACGTGCTATTGACTTTGTACATGTGACGCCGGGGGGAGGCCTTCGCTGGTAAGGGGCGTTGTGTATCACTTATATAACGCCTCCACCAGCAGGCATCTGGCGAGTATTTACGGATGGCATGGCTCCGTTCCGGCTGGCCGACCGGGAGAGAGAACCGTTACTCCATCCTTGCCTGCGATCGTGCTTCCCGGACGTGTACCGGTCCTGGCCGGGTTCTCTTTCAACCAAACAATTAGAGCATGTCTTATTCGAACGAAATCCATCATACGATCACCGACTCAGGTCTACTTTTTTATGTCTCCCCCATATCTCATTTCCATCATTCATCCAACTCCACGCATTTTATGGGTTTATCCACAAGTGTGTGTATCGTCAGGGCGGTTGTCCCCGGTCTGGGTCTGGTCTGGTCTGGTCTAGTTCGGAGCAAGCATCTGATCTGATCGGGAGTTCGGAAGAGAGGTCCGCGTGTTGTGGAAATCTTTACACCAATCGACGGCCCAGACGGGCAAGCCAGCAAGCCAGCAGCCCCGTAGCGTGCGAGCTTCTTGCAGTCCCGAGTGTGTGAATAACACCTTTTTGTCTACAGTATCTCAATGGCCACTTCCTAGCCCGGGTGATATATGTATGGTATGTATCTACATGTCAAAAAAACTTGTTTGGATACATCTGCTGGGTAACAAGCACATTAGTAGTATGTGAACTAAATCCAGTAATAAAATTTGTTTATATGAACAAAAACACAAAAATGTAACTCTCGATCGGGGAATCGAACCCCGGCCACCTGCGAATTGCATATTTGACAAGCAGGTATCCTGACCACTAGACCAATCGAGATAAAGACATGTTGGCCAATACCGTGATGGAGGTTAGCGTCTTAAGGTATACTATAAGGCCCACATTTCTGGAAAATACGTAGTGCCTAAGAACACCTCTATCCACTAGGTACTGTAGGAACTCTACAACACCAATATCACCCACGCTCTTTGCAGCAGGTTTAGTACGAATTCACAAAACCCCAAAGCTTCTCTTTGTTAATTATTTGTAGGTATGGTTACGTATCTTTAGAATCCTTGGAATCCGGCTTGACCCAGTGAGCCAATTACCCCGCTTGCACTTGTTTCGCTTCAGGGCATGCGAAACATCGACTATCCCCAAGCACTCAAACATAACTCTACCATATCCAGTTTCTTGCAGGTACGCTAACAGCCACCATCACCAGGTTCTGGTAAAGAACAAATTGGTACTCGTACACGTGCAAGTAAGTGAGCTCATACTGGTCCTATGTAAAACGGCGCATCTAGGTATTTCATTGCCCACATCCCGGGCGCACTTACACGTTCCGCGTACATACCAGGTATACGCATGTATACTACCCAGGACTTTTGTAAAATCACACATACTCCGTACATACATACTTACTTATATACGAAATCCCATGCCAAGCTCTACCCGAGTCAGGGCTCACGATGCTTCTCTGGCACCCCTGCAGACCAATGGATGCGTACACGACCTACATATGTACTTAGTTATATACTGCCTACAATAGATAGATAATAATATACGTGCAGCATAGTACCACACTGACACTACACTACAGCACGCATTTCCGCATAGACACTAACAACGAAATAAATAGACACACAGACGTAATCACACAGATAACACGACATTGTCATGCCTTCCAGACGTTTCCATACATATACATATACTACATACATATATGTAGGTAGTACAGTAGGCAAGTAGACTAGACTACCCAAGGTACATAAGTAACCTGTCCGGAGCATGCAGTTCACCCCGAAACCCGGGTGCTGCCGGATATGCCAATTACCACTCACGACCACTGACGAGCACCGATTACCACTGTAGGCAGGTACCTAGGTATCCGTCGACATCCAGAAGGCTCATGCATGCAGCGTCACCTACCAAGTAGGTACTGTACTGTACTGTACACCACCAACCACACATACCCAAGCTGCAGCAGATACCTATACTACACTACCTCCCATCCTTACATCCTTACATCCTTACAGACATACACACGTACATATACAGGAGAAGCATGTCTGTCGTTTACCGCGCAAGCCAAGACACCAGTAAAACAAGCGTCCAAGCGAGAATGTCAGGCCATGCCATGGCCGTTCAGTGCTAAGCTGTATGTACACATCAGGTACTCGACCCCCATGTTGATATGGTGCAGTTTACAAACACCCCAGCCGTGCGTCTCGTCCCGAGCGAACCACCAAGGCGAGATCTCTGGTCGACCAAACAAGGGATCAAGGTAACCTACAGCAAACACCGCACCCCGTGATTTGAGCCCCAAAGACGACGTCTTCGTGGATCCGAGTCGAGTCCCTTTTGCGATCATATACTACATATGTACACGTATAACATGGTCATCTATCGGAAACATGACATAACTATATGTACCTAGAGTTACCCTGTAACTACTTATACTAATAAACTACACGCATACGTGCGCTGCAGTACAGCAGAGAAGTACAGTAGGTAGGCACACTACTGTACACTACCTAAACCTAGTATACACTATACTATTACACTACACTGCACTAAATGCACTAAATGCACTACATACACCTATGCGATGCAAAGTGCGGCTAGCTGCTGCGTTGAGGGGTGGGCTGGATGGTATCATGTCGTGTTGCCCCGTCGCCATCGTCCCAAATAGGAAGGCTTCTAGATGTTCTCTTGCCGCTATCTCGAGCTAACGACGACTAACAACTCACATACATACCTATACACATACACACGCACACACACACACACATCTATCTACTGTACTTATCCATATACAGCTCGTTTCCTTCTATCTTCCTCTGCTTAGTGTAGGATTATTGAAGTCACATTCTTGATGAAATGGCAGACCGACTTTCTCTTTTCGGCTTGGTCACTCCGTTTTCGACGAGTTGGGTAAATACCATATCTCCTACTTCTCCTACTTCTCCTATTTTATCTAAGCTGGTATACTTTACGAAGGGACATATCGCCACCCACTTAGACATATGACATATCGCTACGAGTCATTATCTCGCATGGACCCCAACATATCTACGCATACAGCACGCACAACCCGTCGTACAGGAGATAAGGACGAATGCGCATCACGACCAACTCCCGCCGCATATCTACATATAGTTGGTCGTCAAATAAAATAAATATCCAAAATCCAACAACATCTCAAGGTAAACCAATCAAGACATTATCATCCACGCCCGACCCAACAACTACAGGTGAAGTAAGTGGCCATCCCAGTAAGGAAGGTCGCGAACCGCGAGGAATCCTCATGCCAGGGACTCGGTACGACGTCAAGTATACTGCACATGCATGCCGGCGCATACCAGCCCACCAACCCACCATCCTACATACATACTGTTGTATGCCGACACAGAATGCCGACACTAACTGTCTATCTGCTACTCACCTACCTATCCACCTAATCCGTCAGCCGTTAAGCGAAGCGAAGCGAGGCATACGTCAAGGAAGCCCCCGCCCTTCATATCTCGAAACTACTCGACAGCCATGACACACCCAAGACGTTCCAGAAAGGCAGGCCGTCTACACCACTCACTCTCGCCAACAGAGACGATGATGATGCAATCGACATCTTGTTCGTCTATCTCATCCGACGGGAAGCGAGAGTAGGCGAGCCATGACACATGTCGTCTTCGTTTGTTCTGTTTACGTACGGTTGTGACTCTGGTCTAGTTGAGTTCCGTTTCACTTCCGCGGTTAAACAAGACACCACCGATCCCCTCGTCTGCATTTCGTCGTCTGCGTACATTGCAATGTCCTTTTGGTAGGTATCTGTCTAGCCATAGACCACATATCTAGGAAGAATGCAACACTCCTTATATGGTGAATACAACCACATGCATCCATGAAACTACATCTATACAATCACAAATATTATATACGACCATATATAATCATACATACAGCCATATCTATGCATATAGGCCTCCATACCTATCTCTCCCTATCTATACCATAGACTGGAATGCCACTCCAAATGTTCAATACCCGGGAAAAAGAAAATGAGTTTGTGGATATGCTAAAAATAAAACACAACACCCTTACCCGTACTACTACTATCCATCATTCTATCAGTGATAACTTCCACGATGTCTGCAACCCAATTTTGTGACAATTCGAATATATTGACCAGCCAATCCGATATTTCTTTCCATCCCGGGGCGGGTAAAGTGACAATACGAAAATTGACTACAGGACATATACACAACGCGTCATCGAACCTTCCCATCTCTTCTCAACATCAAGCCAGCAAGACCAAACCAGCCAGGCCTTTATTGGACAACATGGCTACTCCGTATCACCAAGCGTCACTGATGTAGAATTCTCTAAATACAAGCACAATACCCAGTCCCGCCAAACGTACGGGGCGGCATGATATTAAGGAAACCTACTCATATATCTCTTCTAACTAATTTAGCGTATATATACCCCAAGCGGCTGATATATCATTACTATCCACAACTACTTGTCACCGTCATCGTTGAATAAGCAGGTACGAAATAAATACACCAATTAGAAAAAAGGGTCGACGGGGAAATAAATATGCAAAAGCAAGTAAGCAACCAATCCCCAAGACTCCCAAACAAACAGCAAGACGAAACAAATAAAAACCGACCCTCCAAAATACAATGATGAACAACATGCATCGTCGATGTATGCAACCCACCATTCAACCAACCCCCCAAACGACCCCCATCATATACCTACCTCCTTCCTACTAACTAACAAAATTGTCCTTGTTCTCCGTTACTGCTGCCGCCGTTTCAAGTTCCCAATACCACTTCTTACGTCTGCCACGGCCGCATATAGCCATCTTTAACCGGAAGGAAGGAATTGGCCGAGCTCGACTTCGAGGCCGCAAGTCAAATATCATAACATGCAAATGATATCAAAGTCTGTCTCAACATAGGAATGTACTACGACGTACTGAGGCGTGCTCAAGAATACCTGCTATCCCTAGTCTTGAATAAACAAGGTGGCCAAAAAAGAACATGGAAAAATCCAAACGTAGAAGCGAGTATAAGTCACTCTCATCTTATCTCATTGTGTATATCGTATATCGTACAGCATACACACTCATCTCCCCTCACCCTCTTTCCAACACCCCCGTCGTCTACCTCATCCAAGTCCCACCCCAGACAAAACAAATGGCCACAACCCAAATGTTGAAATGCGAGATAGTCAGATCCCATGCTCCTATTTTATGCCAGATCCAGCACGCCGCCGCATCCACAAAAACACACGCGCGCACACACAAAAAGTGCCAAAGTTTTTCGATCGTAACCAACAAGAATCCCATGTCCATATGTCCCTTCCCATACCTATTGTACAAGACACCTGTAGAATGCAAATTTGTCCCTCACATCACGTCGCTGTGTAAACCGGCGAGGTTGAGTGAGCCGAATCATATATAACTATGCCGACGAAGTAAATTTCGCTTTCCCACGGTCCACATATATAGTACGGTGGGGTGTAGTAGCATGCGTATCCCAACCGCCGCTCACCGGCGCTTGTTCATGGTCTCGGCGATAGAGGCGCCGCTACTATCATAATCCCAATGTCTCTTGAGACCACCAGACTCGTAGACGCTGGCCACCGACTCCTGCCACATGGCCGGTGTGACAAAGGTCTGCACGGGTGGGGCCGAGTACTGCTGGTGAGACAGCTGGGGTGGCGGGGCCGAGAGGGGGGCATTGGCTATGGCTATATCCTGGGTGGTAGGGACTTCGGGGGCACCTGAGGAAACATTTAGAGAATTGGATTGCGGAGTTACCGTCGCC